AACAAACAGCCTCGACAAACTATATCACCAGGAGTTGAATGTTCAACCGTCAAATATGTTCATTAGAAAAACAATCTTGATTTAATCTGTGGCAAGTAGTGCTATAAGGGGCAGTGCTATTAATGACAGTATTAACGGGGCATAAAATAAGATTATTTTCAAAAAAAAAAGACTTTAAAACCTCACGCGTGGATGTAGATAAATAACTGACAATTTACTGACACATGCTTAAATCATTGAGCACATTAGCTAATGCCACCTAGGCCTGCAATACGCTTTGTAGAAAACTTAATTGATCTTCTAAACTAATACCTTGCTTCAATTTCATTAATTAGAAAATAAAGTAGACATTGCAATGAGTTGCTTTGTCGCTGGCAATCAATGCCTCAATGTTTGCCATTAACTAGTTGTCATGGTGATACACACATAGCTACTGTGACTAGGCGTTGGTAAAGAACTGGGGGGGGGGGGGGGGTTGGGGGGTGGGGGGGGGGGCTGACATAAGCTAAATTACCAATTAGATGCTTCGGTTATATTGCCATGATGGTAAATCTCTGAATATCGATTTATCAGCTCTGCAGATGCCCTTTCCGTTACAATGGAAGCAAGGTAGTAACGTAAATAACGTCATATTGTATAGTGTCCCTAGATACACCTTTGTATCAAGATTTACAAAATCTTCAGTCATGACACATAAAGGAAACCTGAAAATAACGACCAGGTTGTCGTTGTTGAGAGGTTGTTGGAATATGAAAGGTGTACTGCACTTACACAAGTTCAATGGCTCTACTTTTTGTTGTTCCTGAATAAACGCGCACAGTTGAAGGAAGTTATTACGAATAATTAGTCTTCACTTTATTCAGTACTTGTAGGCCACGGGACTTTATGTACAAACGAAATACAATTTAGGTGCAAACAGTATAAAATACAACACATTCCTTTGCATTTTTTTGTTGAAAAAACAGTTTTAACATAATTGCATATTATCAAAGTTGGCGTATTTGTGTTCTTACAGCATTGGGGTAAAAACAAATACTTTTCTGTATTCATATTGGTAATAGGGTCTTGCGATGACAGTAGTGTATTAAACTTCAGAATATTTGGAAAGATGTAAAAACTTTGCCTCAGATGGCTATAACATAGAAAATATTTAAAAAGTGCAATCATTTTTTATATGGTTTAGGTTACAAAATTTACATTTTCTAAATTCACAAGGAATATTGAACTAAACCCAAAACGAGTCCTGATTTTTATTTACAGTTATACTACTCAAATAGTTCTCACATGAAATGGATGTTTTAAACTGTGCAAAATAAGCCATTTGGGTTTTTTCGCATAACTTACCATGCCAAACCCGAAAAAAGGTTTTAACCGCTGACGTAACATATTTAAAAACGCGGTTTTATTACCACATGTTTGAAAGTACCAGACATCTCTAAATCTTAATCTGAAAGTAACAGATTTAAGTTTCGTTACCCAATTTACGTGGCCTTGTTCATCGTACAACTGCAGCATATTGTAACATTTTTGGTGTATACGAGATTCCTGCATATTATAAAGAGACAGCCAATATTTGACACATTTCAAAACAGCGAGCGACTGAATAGAACATCTGCCATACTCGGTTGTATGTCACTGAACCCCCAAATTACAGCCCCGTATAAAAGTATTGGTGTTATCTTTGTATCAAAACATTTTAAGTAAAAGTGAGGCGAGTATGGTTTCAAGGACCATGAACACCTTTCTTGCCTCAATTGGAATATTATTTAAGCATTCGATCTCAGTAAGCTATTGCTAAAATACAAGCCAAGATAACTGTATCCAGTAACTACTTCATACGCATTTCCATCATAATACCATTTTTTCATAACGTGATAAACCTCCCCTATTTTTGAAAAACAACTAGTTTTGTTTTCGATAGATTGACTGGCATTTCCGATTTACAACAGTCATCATGTTAGATATTCAACTTCATTTGTACACAGTAAGGTCATCCGCTAATAGAAGTAGAAAAATATAAATAAATTCCGGATGTAACTTAACACCAAAACGACAGTTTTGTCTCAAAATGTTGTTGTCAAAATGAGGGACTACCACTGGACGAAGAACGGCATCTTGGTATTGTTGGCCATTCAGGTTTCAACGAATTGTCACCAGCGGAAGTTTGCAGCCGAAGGAAACACAAACCCATATCGTGACAGACCCCCGCCACATGCTAAGGTTTTCTGGATGTTCCTTGGTGCAAAACGAGTGTTACGCTGCCTCCAAACACGTATTCGACCATCAACAGTTCGTAGCAGCATTCGACACTCGTCAGACCAATGGATCCCTCTCCAGTTGGCCAAGTTCCAGCGACTACGGGCACGAAACCATATCAGACGATTCCGCATGTGCCTCTCAGTCAGTTGAGGACGTTTTACTGGTCTTCTGGCGTTATAACCAGCCGCTCTGAGGCGAAGCATTACGGTCATCGTCGAGAGTCTCTGATAGGTAATCCACTGCAGTCTTAAATCACACAGGAGCAAAATGCAACCACGTGTCTGAAACTTGAATTTCACTATTTATAGGGTAGGGGAACTGCAGCAACACGTAAAGCACGCTTTCCTCGTGGTATCTGGACAAATTTGAGTTCATGAAACTATGGAAGCCTAATTCAGTCATACATCATCATATTTCGTATTTCTGATTCCCACACGTGAAATCAAGAGACTATGAATATGGCGGCGCTTAACTTTTGTGCATGTGTATATATCAATAGGGTTGGGTCGTTGCAATCGTCCACACATACATTTTATGATGTCCCAGAAACGTGTAGAGTCTACCGCTGCTGCATTTTCTAGGTCACTCCTTTTACATTGTGCAAACTGGTCCTTCTTGATTCCACACAGTTATCTGTATTCATTGCAAACTTTGTTTTACTTAATAAGGTATGAGTTATCTTTAGTTATTTCTGAACGCATTACATAATGGCACCGTTCATGTTTTTTACAGAGACATTCATCATCATCGGGGTACATGTCACTCGATGCCAAACCATAATGTTTCACACTACTCCCTAAATGCCCAATAGGAGGCACTGGCCCAGTCGTCTGAGGCGCCCCGATTCGCTGTGCAGAGTTGCGTCCCTTGGGTACGCCAGAAACCTATGATTCTAGTTTCGAATCCCGGTTCGCCCCGATTATGTTTCTAGGTTTGTCAGCACCATACCCGTACTTGTTGGTTTCACCGAAGTGGTAAACGTCTAAGGCCTGCATCACTTCGGGCTTTCCTCCCACATTAAACTGACATTAAGCCGTGATATAACTGGAATACTGTTAAAATGGCGTTAAACCCAACTCACTCACTCACTAAATGACCAATAAATGTTCAGTCACCGATTTGATAGTCAGTCCCAAATCTTCCATTCACAATATGTATGTTCAGAATTGAACACATTTCCAAAAGAGTTTTTCCAAAGTAAATTATCACATGAATATCTTTCCATCTCAAATTGTGTAAAAACATCTATTAAGTAATTATTACTTTCAACATGGTGAATAACATCGCTCTCCACATAGTCACACCGGTTCTACTGTTCATGTACAATGGACCTGTGAAGATCCGGGGCAGATCAGAATAGGTCTTCAGCAACCCATTCTTGCCATAAAAGGCGACTATGCTTGTCGTAAGAGGCGACTAATATAACTGACTTGGTTGATGTATGTCCTCATATCCCAAATGCGTGGATCGATGCTCATGATGTCGACCACTGGATTGTCTGGTCAAGACTCGATTATTTACAGACCATCGTCATATAGCTGGAATATTGCTGAGTGCGGCGTTAAACAACAGGCAAACAAACAAACAAACAAACAAATCCAAGTACAATGCTAGAAATAGCCGGGTCTTCTTCCAGTGTACTCAATAATAAATACAACAAAATCTCTACCCCATTTTGTCTATCATTGTTATTATTACCAGGTCGATCTCTCCGACTGGATATATGTAAACACACATAATGTAGCGCTACTGAAACCAAACATACTCTTATCCAACAGAATAGTAATAGCATGTTATCTGTAGCGAAAATCAATAACACGTCTTACCAGTGAATACTTTATCAAAGGTATTCCTCCCGAATACCTCCCGAACATGGACCTTTTACGAATTATGCATATTACGAATAATTGCAAGAAACCGAGCAAAAACAATAAAAACGGGAACATAGCAAAATCCTATATTTCAAATAAAACTTTGTTTATAATAATATTTTACATTAAGGGGCGATATGTACGATATTAGCCCTTAATGTAAAAAAAATATTTTTTACATTAAGGGTTACGGGTTGTTACTCTTAATGTAAAAACGTAACCCTTAATGTAAATTTGTTTACATTAAGAGTAATTTTTAGATTAAGGGTTGTAACAATGTATAAATGTTTGCTTTTTGTCTTGTAAATCGATTAGCTACCAGCCTCAAAAATGCATTGTATCAAACATGCATGTACAGTTTTGTCTCACATGCAATAAAGGTTCGTGTTAATGTACCTTATGTAAATAGTATATATACGAAACTTTTGTTTTGATCATAAACCCAGGGTTCAAGGTGAATACTGATACAGAATACAGTTGCAAGCTTGTTCTTCAGTCAGTCACCCCCTGTGAGGAGTCATGAATGCAACATTGTATCTAAGTGACATGAAAATCAAAGGGGAAGCGAATTGTGTTTGAAAAGAAACATTACAGACTGAACTATTGGACCGTCGGTGATAAACAAAACGTTCTAAATTCAAGCAATTGGCTGAACAAGCCTAACACATTTCGGATACCCGCAAACAGTGTGTGCGCCATGAAAATGACTTTCCTTCCTGTAACAGCCATTCGACTGCTTGTTCAATGTTATTGCTTTCATGTTTTCTGTCAATAATTGTTTATTAAAGTATGGAATTTCCTTCCAAAAGGTACCAAATACATATGTTGAATTCTACTATCATTAATGTTTATTTCAAACACAGTACTCACCATAACATGAAGGTTCCAACAATTGCATTGGCTGGACTGCACATGGGAAGAGGATCAGTTCCATGGTCATATCTACCAAGGCGTGGTTTTAGTAAAAGAGATGCCACAAGGCCAGAGGATCCACCCACCAGATGAACAACACCAGACCCTGCAAAATCCACCGATCCCATTTGCTTAAGAAAACCATCAGATCCCCATACCCAATGGGCAGGGAAACAGTACACAATAGTGTTGCAAAATGAAAACAATATGTAGCTTATCAGTTTAGTCCGCTCAGCCATGCAACCCGAAACAATGGTCGTAGCTGTGGTCGCGAAAGACAGCTGGAACACAAATGTTGAAAACACGATCCCCATATTTTCATCACTGGAGTCGACAAAGAAGTATCCGATCCCACAGAACGGATTTGTACCTTTGTCTTCGCCGAAACTAAATCCAAATCCATAGGCCCAATATGTCAGGCCACCGAACACAATGTCCACTACGTTTTTCACCATGATGTTGACCTCGTTTTTGCTTGACACGGCCCCAGCTTCCAGAAGTCCAAAACCTGCAAATAAAAAATAATGATCAAAAAGATATTTCAAATTACAATAATAAATGTGATTGAAAAGGCTGATTTGACGTACTCAATATATATTTATTGGACAGCTCTTCTTTCTCAATCACAATACTATGTTGACAATCTAAAAAAATAATAAAGATATTGTCAAACACTTTTGTGTCGAAGTTGAATGGACATTCGTAAATATCAACAAAAAGTGAACTTGGCATACATTTGCCAATAGGACCAAGCTTTTACTTCGAGACAAACGTAGTTCGATACATCAAAGTTCGATACAACAGTGCTTGACTGTATGCACATTTGTAGATTGAGAAAGGATTTCATACAATATTTTCAAAGCACGTATGATAATACATATTTTGCAGAAAACACGGCAGCGATCGAATATATGTGAGTGAACGACTTTAGTTTTCCGCCGCTTTGAACAGTTTTTCAGTTGAATCAAGGCGTGTCAACTTGATGTTGGAAGAAAGCCCCAGGCAGGCCTTAGGATTTTACCATTTTTTTTTTCGTAGGCGACTGTCGCGTCGTATTGGTTGCATGCCAATCATAGAATAGACGCCATAATGAGGTACACACATTGACACACACATGTATGCACGTCGCTGTATAAGTGCAATGGGGGCACGGGTGGCCCAGTCGTCTAAGGCGCCGCGATTCGCTGTGCACATTTGCGTCCCTTGGGCACGCCAGAAACCTATGATAATGGGTTCGAATCCCGGTTCGCCCCGATTATGTTTATAGGTTTGTCAGCACCATACCCGTGCTCGTGGGTTTCACCGAAGTGGTAAACGTCCGAGACCTGCATCACTTCGGGCTTTCCTCCCACATTAAGCTGACACGCCATGATATAACTGGAATACTGTTAAAAGCGGCGTTAAACCCAACTCTCTCACTCACTCACTCACAGTATAAGTGCAATTATCTTGAACGACGTCAAAACCAATTTCACCTCTAATCTTCTTGGTTGTCAATTTAATGTTTACATACGTTATACCTACACTGCACACTTAATTTGCTGCCTCTCATATATGCGAGTAAAGTATATTGACATACAGACAGCAAACTGTAATGTTTAAGTACATACAGAGACATACATGTACTACCTATTTCACTCCTTATCTCCGCTGAATTTGCATTTACTATTGTCTGGGTACAGTAAAAATGTCGGTTTCAAATTCAGTTCAACGCCTTCAAAACTACAGGTATACATTATACTTGTTTCTGAAGGCATATTCTACTTTCTATTGAGAGGTATTGTTGGTATATTGACCAGGATATTGATGAATTATTTCCGAACACCTCAAACACAAGGCTTCGAGGAACAAACATGGTTTGGTTTTGCAACAAATAATATTAGATCGTAACACAGAGATTCTGGATGACGATTTTGTATACCCCTTCATACCTGTCGATTAAGTGAATGGAAAACAATTGGCCATCGACGGACTTCTCTCAACACTTCCACATAATGTTTACAGCATATGAACATGCATCTATTAATATTCCCAAAGAACAATGTCCGAATAGATGGATTGCCTTTGAGAACGATATCGTGAAAATATTTGTCATACCAAATCATCGCTGGCCATATTGTTCTGACACAAACCCAGGAAATTCTAGATGGAGAATCAATGTGATATTTTCCCTTCCAACAGGAAGGCTTTGTCAGCTTGTCACTTTGTTTCCATCGACCCCAGACGGCGTGGCACGACGCTCATAATATAAATCACTGGTTTATCCGGTCCAGACACGAATATTTACAGGCCGAAGTCATACAGATGGAATGCGGCTTAAGACAACAAACACATTCCCAAAAGAGTACAAACAGTAATAGTAACATATGATGTGTTTGTGTGCATTAAACACAATCCTCAGTCCAATGTCTCAGTATTACGTATAACGATGGGTATTCTCATTATCTCATTGAGCAGTATAGTTTTCTCTTCACATATGTTGTTCCATTGCTTAGATTGCTTATTTACGAAACAAAAGTAACGTGACGTCACATCTGTGCATTATCATGAAAAATTAATCTGACGCGATCTATTGTGCAATTATGGACAGGCGTATATTAGCGAAACATCAAGGCCCCTCAAAGCCAGAATGAAAGAACACCAAAGCTCAGTCTGTTCAGGAAACTACAAGCCATCAACATCGAAAGACTCCAACCATCAATTAATCTTGATCAAGGCTATTGCATACCTCCTGCGTACCATCAACTCATCAAAGACCCCAATCAGTCATGACCCTTTTGTTTTATACTACTGGCTTCACCGGTTAAGATGTTTACCTTTTTGTGTACATAACAGGCTTCTCCACTCAAGTGTAACTACATCCCAGTTTACTGTTTAAACACTGCCTCACACCTGTATATTTGTATGTCAGCCATATTCTTCACATGACTTGCTTGATAACGGTGTTAGAACATAAACAGAAACGTCGCCATTAATTGTAATGAAGAAGTTGTTCATCCATGTATCTTATCCTTACTTAGTACTCCGCCTTCTGAACGCCTCTCAAAAAGCCAATTATAACTTAAGACATCACGTCATCAACATGACTTTGTAAAATGCCTTCCAATACTTTATTGACCAAGCTGCTGTCACTACTTTATTTTCGGGACGCCATGCTTTAATTTCATGGTCTCATGGATAGTGTAAAGACTAACCTACGTACTTGTCCGAGAATTAAGGACCAGCTGTCCCTTGTTAACAGTCATCGAAATTTCTTCACTCTGGACAGATAATATCAAACCATGTATACTCTAAAGGATTACAGTTTATTGTTTAAGAGAAGCCCGAAAGTATTTGGAACCGATTGTAGCTGATCCTTCTGAGCTTTTTGGATATTATATTACAAAAGGGGATATTAGATTTTTTGCTAGTGTGACTTCTGTCACATGTAAACTACCGTGTTGTGTTGGTGACTTCGAATGCTTCTATAAACAAAACAAATAATAATAATAATAATAATAATAATAATAATAATAGTGTATACGAAAATATAAAACCACCATTTTTGTGTTTCATTACACCCGATTGCCTGAAAAATGTAATATTAGAAAGTCTAAATCTAATACGGCGCCAGAGCCTGATGGTATTTGAACTCTCCCCATGTGTTCAAACACCATTACTTCACTGTTTTAATTCTGTTGTGGATACGGGGGATGTTCCGCCTTGGTTGTGCAAAGGTTGAACAAACTTCTCCCAAATAAAGGTGATTTGACTGATCCCCAAAACGTCCGCCCTATTACTTGTCTGAACACAAAACAAAATATTTACAGGGTGTCTCACAGATATTGTGTCATCATACTGCGCATCCAATGACATTATTTACATGGAGCAGAAAGGAGCCAGAAAGGAATGTTGAGGTTGTAAAGATCAACTACTAGTTCAGAAAATGATCCTTGGAGAGGCTAAAACTTACTACCGTAACCCCTCAATGTGTTGGGAAGACTACAGAAAAGCTTATGATTCCGTACCTCACGAATGGATTTTGAGGTCACTGGAATGTATTGAGCTCACCGCGAGTGACTTCTTGTTTTTCCCAAGTCTTCAATGATTTGCTGGTCAACTCAACTCAGGGGCAGGTGGTGACTTCGGAACCCATTTCTATTAGAAAAGGAATATTTCAGGGCGATTCTTTTAGTCCTTTGCTTTTCTGATTGTCACGAAACCCTTTTAGCTTTTTGCTCAGCCAAGAGGAGGGTTATCACCGGGACCTCCTCAGCACCGGCACCTTTACATGGATGTCCTTAAAGTTATTGCCAATGGAGGACCCGCAGTCAAAAAACAGATTCTGCTTGTCGAGTCCTTTTCTAATGATATCGGCATGACCTTTGGACACCACAAATGCAACATTCTTCATTTGAAAGGTGGAAAGGTAGAAGAGAGAGGGTCAGTCAGTTTACTTTGGGGAGGAGTTATTGACAATCTCGTGGAAGGTCAGGCCTACACGTATTTAGGGATGCAGATTAGGGACAGACTCCAGAATGCCAATATCAAGGAAAACCCTCGGACAGAGTACAAATGTAGGCTTAAGAAAAATCTTGAGTTCAGAGCTGAATGCTCGCAATAAAATTAAAGCCACAAATACTTAGTTGTACCCGTCCTTTCACATTCTTTTGGTATTGTTGATTGGACGAAACAAGAAATGTAGGGTATTGACACACACGAAGAATCATTGCAGACCCTGGGGATTCCTTCGCTAGGATGAGGTCGCCTGGCCTGAAAAGTGATACAGAAGGCCTTCTGTTTGCTGCTCGGGACCAGTCACTTACCACTCGAAACCGTCAATGTGCGATTTTGCATCAAAATGTAAATATGAGATGTTGATTATGTTATGTATTTAATGAGACTGCCCGACACATTGTCAGTGGATGCCCAGCATTGGCACAAACACAGTATCTTAAGTGACATGATGGGGTGGCTCGATCATTTCATTACCGTTTTCGCCATGCTTGTGGTTTTGACAAAGAGGTCCATCCATAGTACGACCCAGAACGTATAGAGTGCGTCATGGAAAATGAGAAAATGCAAAATTCTTAAAATAGGCCCGTATACAGCCTCAGAGGTATTCAGGCCAACAAACCTGATCTTGTCCTTTTTGATAAATTCAATGAAATTATTTATATCATTGAATTTTCTGTCCCTTTTGACACTAATGCGATTGACAAGATTCAGGAAAAACTTTGCAAATAGGCGGACCTCGCTTTCGAAATGTCATGCTTGCATCCCAAGTACCAAATTGTCCGACACCCCATTGTTCTCGGTGCCTTAGGTTTGTTACCTCCCAATCTGTTGACTGGCATTGGGAGAGTACATGGGTTTGCTACCAGGAATACAGCCCTTCTGACAATCTGGGTAATTCAAGACTGCAGTTTTGGGGAGTCTTCACATTCTCCGAAAAGTCCTAGGTGGGTTGACTAGGTAGCGCGTCCTGGGAGAAGTCCCATTCGCTGTCTGGGCTGCGTGTAGAGGGGACAAAGGCCCTGAGCTGAGGAAGAGCTTAACCAGCCTGACTACTCTGCCAGGATCACCCAAACCCTATTTGCTGCATTTTAGTTTATTTCTATCTGTAAATAATAATTGAGTTTATGTACAGTGTGTTGAGAAGATCAGCAACCCTGCAGAGGCCTTCACTTTTATAAAGTCGGATGGCCTGAAAAGTTAAACAGAAGACTTTTTGTTTGCTGCTCAGGACAAGTCACTTCCCACTCGAAACCGTAAATGTGTGATTTTGCATGAAAATTTATATATGCAATGTAGATTATGCATGAATTGAATCGAACTGTGAGATGTTGCTGCAGTATGGTTAGGGCAACGGTTATGTCAGCAATACGCACACTCCGGCACCATCGAGCTGTTCGGCAACATTGAAGGGGTGAATAGAGAAGGGGATGGCCCAGTCGCACCATGATTTGTTTGCAGGCGTTGATATATTTTCCCGTCTCAAATACTTGAAGATGTTTAGTGGGATGGAATTATTTTCTGTGCACTTACTCAAAACCCTAATAGGTAATAGATAGACATAAACACCATTAAAGTAGCAATTAGGATTATCTGAGGCTCGTGAATATGTGTGATCCGATGGGGTAGAGTATCGGTAAATCTTCGTTGCTCGTTACCAGTGAGGACATACATATATGTGATCTATCGGCACATTGGCAAGCCCAATAAAGCAACCTGCAGTATAAGTTAATCTCATTACATGGTCACGTATATTTATAAATTCACATAACTCATCTTGTAAAAGATGGAGTCTGTTTGAGAAAACGTTGTAAAATGGGATTGAATCCAGGAAATCTTAAACTAAATATAATTTGCTTGTTATCTTTTTCAATCTTACATGAGAGCCATTTCGTTGCTTCTCTCAAATTTAGCTGGCCACGCTGGTTTATTTATCACGAAAGTATTCAACGTCATCCATTATATCAAAACGTCATAGCATTGCCGCGTGACGTCATAACATGCTGGAGTAGCGTCATGTCTGTCTCACAACCAGAGAGGCAACGGACACGAACAGATAACTTTTATAACATTTGAAAACTCCGGCTAATCTGACTTAAAACAGATGCGTGTGCCGGAGGTATTAAATGTTTAAAGCTTCGGGCATCCAATACTCAATAACACACGCAATCAGACGTGGTGATTTGTTTGATTGATTCCTAATCTAGCCTCACCATGAATTGTCATATTCTCTTTCTACCATGACATTGATAAATGCTTGATTCTGATTGGTTAAAAAGAGATTTCCTTTTTTCAAATATATTAAGCCTTTTCACCAAAAACGTGTGTCCACGAAAACATTGTCCCAACTGAAGTGACAGCTCATCAAACTCGATGAAATTCATTTCAGAACACGCACAATTAAGAAAATCATACACGATCCACTATTTCTGGGACACAAATGTCTAAGTTCTCTCACTATTTGGCTTTGGATCCGTGACATCTTGAAATTAATAGGTCACACCATGCAGATTCCTCGTTTCAAAATATCCGGCTCGTCTGCAGCCTAAAAAGCGGCTGTTCAGTCATACTCAGTCACATTGGTAATCATATGGATGTACCAGCAGGCTCGATCAATCCCAGAAAATCTACCTGTTAATTATATAATGCTGAACCACATCATAGATCGGGGTTGTCATCTTGCTTCATTCTATAGCTCGTTACCGAGAATGTAAACACAAGATTGTCAGCCATTGACAGCTGTGAGGTGTGAGTAACCGTGATGTAGGTCAAGTTCTGCCATTGTTTACTGGTGGTTATTGCTAACTAACTAATAACACTTACACATGTTAAATGTATAATAGAATGTTAATTCATAAAGTTTGCTGTAGAAATATATAATCGTTTGGCATTTTAAAATCTTTTTCTATTACCCGTCACCCCTACAATAGAAATGATGGCATGTTCGATTTCCAAGAAATGACCTCTCTCCAAAATTCCGAGAAATGACAGTCAGTCCACAGTGTTCAACAGTTTGGTAGAAATTAAAACATCTCTCCTTGGACTACGTTTTGCGTGTTATTTGTCAACTTCTTTTGAAAAACTATGTGTTTTGAACACTTATTATGAACTACTCACGACTATTTTGTTTTTAATCTTGAACTTTAGTAATAATTGTTACATATATAACTACCTGTGACCTCTTTTCGGAATGTTCTTAGATTGCGGATCTGTGCACCTGTGTTATTACGCGTTGCAAGAGAGCGCCCTTTTCAAAGGTTGTTGCCGTCATGGTAGAATGGAGATAAACCTACTGTGTTTTGAAATTTGATGTAGTCCCACTGTAGAATAGATACCTCTTTATTATAACTTGGAACCTCGCGCTAAAGCGCTCGCAAAATTAAAATAAAGAGGTATCTATTCTACAGTGGGACAACATCAAATGTCGAAACACAGTAGGTTTATCTCCTAATTGTAAATAGCTCTGAAGTTAAATACAACTTGACTGCCAAAGGTATGGGCAGCATTGTGTCTGTTGTGTACAATACGGAAGTTTATTAAAAGATGTTTTATACACTGATAGCAACAATGCATAGTATTACGCTAATATATGTGGCATCCAGTCATGTTAGTATAAACAATATGCTGAGACCTTATTGACGATGTCTAGAATAAAATTTAATTAAATTTAATGAGTTTTTTTTTTTAGTATCTTAATACAACATAAAATCAGCTGCAAGTAGTCTTTTGTCTTAAACACTATACTATAATAAAACAAAAAGTAGTTTTGGATCATACCCAAGATGCTCTTTTTGACACTGATCAAACGCAAATAATTGTATGAATGTTGTTATATAATTGTAAGCTACCAACCTGACTGCATAGTAAATATGATGAAGGCGCTGGTGAGAATCCATGTCGCATCGTCCCATGTGATGGGACCGTTGGCATTCACACCAGAAGGGGACAGCGTACTCGGGAATTGCGTCGTGTTGTTGCTCATTTTGGGACCCACTGTCTTCACGCGGTTGCAGCGTTTATCAACACACCTTTGACAGCCATCATCAACATAGGTGCTATAACTGAACCGCCTGTCCCGGTCGAGTTGTCTGCCAGTTCCGTGACTGGGAGCGTGTCATGAAGAAAGATCGATGAACTCACTGGCACTCGTCCTTGCTTTGTTACTTACACACCAAGGCATGTTCAGTTTGGCCTTGAGGTAATGTCTTACGTTAAACTTCACTATATACCCTACGCCAGTGTTTTTTCAATTAATTCTTCAAGGGACTCCATGTTCTATGTAAGATACGTTTCTAAGGTTTGTCTGGTGAGTGATACTAATAGGGCCTTTAGGATGTGTGTGTCTACATGTATATATGTTACAGGAAACAAGTATAATCAGTGATTAAGTCTAATAACGCGTCGCTGGATGATGGAGTGGGCTCTTCTAATGACTTGTCAGCATTGGAAACAGGAGATTCAATGGCCGAAAGTAGATCATCTTCTGACTGCAGTCGCTGAAAAACTTCATGTGGGAGGGTTGAAGATGCAAGGCCAGTCCGAGCATCAGATCCGAAGAGAGCTGCAAATAGTGAGGTTTTGATACCACTGTGGAGACTTGCATTCTTCTGAAACTGGACGAACTTAAGTCCTACAGTCCAATCACTGGTGTCATTGTCTCCAAGCCAAGCAACTAGAATGTCTTTAATGTCACAGTTAGCCCTCTCTACAGAACCTTGGCTTTGGGGATGTCGAGGCTTTCCGTTTTTATTACCGAGAGTACAGTACCATCAAATCTGTGAATAATAACCATTTTGTTGTGAACGAAGAGTCGTCTAAGACTCGGTGCAAAGTTGCGTCCCATATGCGTCCCGTACTGTTCCATGATCGTGGATTCGATATGATTATGGTTCTGGGTTTTTCGGCACCATATACGTTATCGTGGGTTTTGAAATGGTAAAGGTCTATATATCTGGCAACTGCATCACTGCGGGCTTTCCTCCTATGACGTCTTACCTACATGATATCCACATGAAAGATTACTTTCTATTCTGATCATAGTTTGTTTTGTTTGGTGCATAATTGTATGTTTGACATACACAGATGAAATGTCGTGTGTGGTTAATCTGCATCGACTTTTAATATTAAAAGTATGTTTATATGACTATTGCAATGTGACATAAAATATAAGCAATTATTCAGAGCTTTTTGTTCATGCATACATACCTAAGATACCCTGAACGTAATGATTATATACTTGAATATAATTATACATACCGTGTGGTGTGTAAGGTCAAACGTTAGAACAGGTATGCGAGATTCAACACACCTGCACCGGGTTTCAATTTCCTCCGTGGTCTAGTGGTAGAGCGTCTGCCCTAACCGAAGGTCGGGGATTCGATCATTCGATCATGCCAAATACGTTAAAAGATGGTATTTGTTGTTACCCTGCCTGGCGCTCGGCATAAAGGGACTAAAAGAATGACTGGTCGGCTCGGAGTGAGTATACTGTGTCTGAGTGGTGGTTTCATGTTACGGCATGGTATCTCAGTGGTTAACACTATAAAATCGGCATTAGTCCGGTGAGTGAATGAGTATGGTTTTACGCCGCTTCTAGCAATATTCCAGCAATATCACGGCGGGGGACACCAGAAAGGGGCTTCACACATTGTGCCGAAGTGGGGAATCGAACCCGGGTCTTCGGCGTGACAAGCGAACGCTTTAACCACCAGACTACCCCACCGCCCCTCATTAGTCCGGACTAGTACAAGCAGCCACACACCCACGTGCATGCACGTCGCTTTTTAAGTGCATTAATTTTGAACACTATGTTAAACCCCATTATAACTCACCTTCAATTGAGACACCAGTCATACAACAAATGCAAAGCGGTGTTCTCAAAACGGCGTAAAAATAGCTAACGTTTAAACTAATGATACTACATTTTCTCAATAATGTCGTTACTTGTTAAACTATGACTTCGTCTCTGGTCAGCTTTCACGACAGACAAACAGGCGACATGAACACACTAAATAATTCGAGGAAAGTATATTAGTAACTTTATGATAAATATATGCCCATGATTTCGACAATCATAACCTCCCCCAATATAGAAAATGTTCATTATCATATAATAAGAAACCATTGACCAAAATGGCGTTTCATACAATGGCAAAAACTTTATACTGTGTGTATGTCGGACCAGTGTGTATATTTGCCGTATACTGAATAAGGGCTGTGAGGGGTACAATAGTGAATGGATCACTGATATTCAGTGACCAGGATGTTCTTCAGTCTTGGTACCAACAATGTCTACAGGTATTTACAGTATTGTCACAACCCCTAGTGTAAAAGTACCTACACACGAGATCCTCGCGTTATTGGAATTATCCCATACTCTGCCAGGTTCAATACATTATGTACTAATCGATGGGTTCAGTGTATAAGGCAGCATCAATAATTCAAAACAACGCGCAATTGTATCAGATTGACCTCAGGTTAAGCATTTTCTTTGCTCAGAAATCACGTGCAAAATGTCCATAAATTTGCAATATTTACGCCCTTAACTTCTATCATCAACATAAAATTCAGAATATACGTATACATTGGCTGATACAGTATTGTTAAGAAACTGATTAAGCTATTGGTTGAAACATTTATCTTTACAGAATAACGTTTACCCGTAGTCCACGTCAGTGATTTTATGGGAAAAAGCGTCAAATTTTAACATAAACTTCCTGTATGTATACTGTACAAAAGAGTTAAGGATCACCAATACATTGGGGGATATTTTTTATAAAACTAACTGCTCAGTCTTCGCTACAAATATTCTTGATCCCTAATTTTGTGTCGTTCAGTAAATATCCAACTGCTCTTATATAATGTTACCTTAATGTTATCGAGTCATGCAGCCTGGCCATGGATCTCCCGTTGCTGGACATTGTTAAAGGTTATAGAATATGCTAATCAGACAGCTTTATGACTATTGAGTTTGTTGCATGTTATGTTCAGAAATTCCCATGAGTGCCATTCCAAATTGTTAACGCTAGTATTCAGCTTGTGAGGGAGCTATGTCGAGATCGATATGATATACAAGCTTAGTAACGCTTAAGTGATAATGACATGTACATTATGTATGCGTGTTTAACGCCCCACTCAGAATAACCCAGCGGTCTGTAAATTATCAAGCCTGGACCAGGCAATCCTGTGATTGGCATCATGAGCATGGATCCACACAATTAGGATACGACGACATGCATGAACAAGTGAATGACATTTTTAAATCATACTTCAGAACTAGAACACAATGTGGCTGACACGTTCTGAGGCTATGGATAGAAGTGCACTGTAAGGGGGCGAAGTCAGCAAGTGGTCAAAAGCGCCAGGTTAACAAGCGCCAGGTGCTGAGATCGTATCCCGCTAGTGACCAGGATGTTCTTCAGTCTTGGGACCAACAATGTCTACAGGTCTTTACTGCATTATGACTACCCGTAGTGTAAACGTACTTTCACCCTGTGCAATAAAAAGACACCACTCGTCCGACGGTAGATGACCAGATTGTGAAAACACGAACACGTACATCACCCGAAGCACACGTGTCAAAACGACATAGGGCAAGTGACATAGTTCAAATGTGCCTCTGTTCACCAGCAGGGAATGGGTATCCGATATCTGAGGTGGATGTGAAAACCCTCTTGTGGCCATAAGCAGCTTGAGATGCATACTTCCCAGGTATTTGAGAGTGGTAACTTGAATGCAAACAAATCGGGGAATAATTAAATTTTTATTATTTAAAAACAAACACATTTGAGTTGATACTAGTACCTGGATACGTGCGCTATATAAAATGTATAATATATATATTCATGGTACGACCCAGAATATGTAGAGGATGTTATGTAAAATGATAAATACATGTACAAACTTCTTTTGAATGTGCCCGTTTACAGCCTCAGACGTATCGAGGCCAACAAATCTGATTTTGTCCTTTGTGATAAATCCAATGAATTTTGACACTAATCTGATTGACAAGATTCAGGAAAAACATGGCAAATATGCAGACCCCGCTTTCGAAATTTCTAGCTTGCATCCCAAGTACCAAGTACCAAGTTGTCCGGCACGTCCGAAAAGTCCTGGGTGGGTTCGAAGAGACAGCGCTTCCTGTCCCATTATCTGTCTGGGCTGCGTGTAGAGGGGGCAAGGGCCCTGAGCTGATGATAAGCTGAGCTTCTTAAACTGAACTCCAACAGCCACCCATGCGGACATGCTGTCTGTCTCCTTTATTGTATGGCGCTCCTTATATACTCAACAACAAAAGTTCCTGTGACGCCAATATTTTAGTGTATTTTTCAAACAAGTAAAGTTTGGTTTTTAATATTGTAGTACATGTATGGCATCAAGTCGCAAAAACGCAACTGCTACAGAAAACATGCATTCCATGCAAAAGTTTACTTTTATGCAAGCCCCATGCATTTCACTACACAAGAATGGGTATAAAAATATGTGCATTAACGGGATTCCATATGCATTGTTTAGCATCGTGCTGACAACCACTCAGAAAAACACCAAAATTACGCAATTATTCAACATTACGAAATACCAGGCCTGTCTGTTTGAAGCAGGATGTCAATGTGATGTTGCAAGACAATTTAACGTCCACAGAAACACCATTTGCTGTTTCAACAGACGAATGCAGTCAGAGACCTCGGAGTGGCAGGCCACGCGTAACCAATAACCAACAAGACAACTGGATTCGAACAACACACCTACGAAATCGATTCCAGCCAGCAACAGTGACTGCAAGACGCATCCCTGGCCTTCGTCGAATATCTTCACAAACCGTACGTCATCGCCTCAGATGTGCAGGGATTGTCGCCAGAAGACCCGCCAGACATCCCATTTTGACAGGAAACCACCGTCAAGCACGTCTACAGTGGTGCAGACAGCGCCTCTATTCACTGGCGGGTCTCGTTTTCACCTCAGCCACAGCGATGGACGGATTCGACTGTACCGACGTCGAGATGAACGTTACGTCAATAATAGTGTCATGGAAGAAGATCGGTTCAGGGGCGGCAGCGTTATCGGTGGGATTACAGCAAGACAGAGGACCCGTTTGATAGTGGTAGAGGGAAATCTCAATGGACAACGCTACCGCGACGAGATCATCGGCCCTGTTGTTCTACCGTTTTTGCGTCGTCATGGCCCAGGCATTACCTTTCAACATGACAACGTCCGGACTCATATTGCTCGACTTGTTCAGGATTCTCTTCAACAAAACAACGTGAATGTCATCCCCTGGCCGGTTCGCTCCCCTGATCTCTCACCAATCGAGCACATGTGGGATGAGATTGATCGGCGCCTTCGACGTCAACCACGTGTTCCACAGACACTCCAGGAACTTCGAAACATGCTCCAGCAGATATGGACAGGTATCGAACAGGACTTTGTGCGATGCCTGGTCCATTCCATGAGACGAAGATGTGTTGCTTGCATCGCAACCAGATTGAGTGAGTGAGTGAGTTGGGTTTAACGCCGCTTTTAACAGTATTCCAGTTATATCACGGCGTGTCAGCTTAATGTGGGAGGAAAGCCCGAAGTGGTGCAGGTCTCAGACGTTTACCACTTCAGTGAAACCCAAGAGCACGGGCATGGTGCTGACAAACCTAGAAACATAATCGGGGCGAACCGGAATTCGACCCCACAATCATAGGTTTCTGGCGTGCCCAAGGGACGCAACTCTGCACAGCGAATCGCGGCGCCTTAAACGACTGGGCCGTGCCCCCGCATCGCAACCAGAGGTGGACACACACGCTATTGATTTGTAAATTGACATTTTGGCATGTTCATGTTTTTTATGAAATCAAGCATTTTCTGAAGTCAGTATGGCAAATAAACCATTTGAACACTTACAGGAGTCTTTTATCTGTTGCAAACTGAAATTGTTTCAGATTTGGTAAAAAACATTACTTTGCAATAAATCTTATTCAATGTAAACAGGAACTTTTGTTGTTCGGTATATTACGTTGCTACTGTAAAGCGACATTCGAGAGGGGGGAAGATACACTATGTCAATATGAATGATCGACACCTCACCATACGTCGCTTTTACAGTAGGTACAAACACTGCGTTCTTGCCGAGTGGTGGTTATCTCCACTAAGTCCGCACCATCTAAATAATGATGGACGGTGACTCGGCTCATACTATGATATATACGACGTCATTTGTAATTTTGAGCCTATAACTCCTTTACGTGTGAGTCGTGTACTATCTTACCATATAAAGAAACAACAAGAAAGTCGTGTTTATTCTATGTCGACAAGCAGTGTTATTGTCCGCGTATTCACAAATATTGTGTTAGCGTCCTGTTTCGAAACATCGAAAACTAAGTAAAGGAATGTCTGCTCATTTTATGGTGTGTTGATAAACAAGCGACGATCGTTTGATTCGGACGAGTTTGTTTATGGAATGGGCATCCTCTAAATCTATAGCTAGCCTGAAGTAGACATGCTGATTATCAAATTAAAGAGGAACTTGGCTCGAGCTAATTGGCAGTCCTATCTAGCAACTTTGGCTTTTTTTATCAGTCAACCTAGGATGTAGATTAATCAATTAATTAATAATAACAACATCTGAGTCTAGGATGGAAATTGGCACTAAGGCAAGGAGAATAGTCTTCCGTCTTCCCTAAAGGTGAATCTTTCAAATGCATCCGTGAACACATTATTGGTAGTTGTGCTAACAGTTACCACAATCACCACATGGAACAAGACAACCTGCCTTATTTAGTGAACAACGCGTATGTTGGGAGACAGAAGCCCGGTAGTTCTATTCCCTTGCCGCGTCATACCAAAAGACGTTAATAGATGGTACTTGTTGCTACTCTGCCTGGCGTTCGGCATTATATTAAGAGGCAAAAACAAGGACTCGCCGGTTCGGAGTGGGTATCCATGTTAACCCTCGGCATGGTATCTCAGTGGGCTAGCACTATAAGTTCGGCATAGATCGGGACTAGTACAAGCAGCCACTGACACACACACACACACACACACACACACACATACACACATGAACGACGCTATATGAGTGAAATATTATGGACGTGACGTTAAACCCCATTTTACTCACCTTACCATATGGAACAAGCGGTTTATACATCTCATGATAGATAAACACGTCAGAAAGGTATCTGACATATGCTTTATGAAGACCAATGCAAGACCATGTTTCTATAGATCTGCATGACGCTATTCGCGATACAGAATGTGATGTTTACCTTGATGTGAGTAGTGAAGTATTAGTGTACCGATGATAGTGAGCTGTCAGCTGTGTTGGCGTGATGTATCGTTGACATAGGTGCTAATGCTTGAAAATGCAATTTAAAACACTTTTTGTATTGGTTTATTTTGCGAAGATATTTTTTGTGTACCTTTAACAATTTCCCCTATATATTTAGCTCTCTGTATCAAATTGTCAGTGAGTTTACCTAGCTTTAAGATCTTTAATATCTTCAAAATAAATATCAAATATATGGTGAGATTTGAAATGTCTGTACAGAGACATATATCAAACAATATGACGGTAATGTTATGATGATGCTAGGATTATCGTATAGATAACAACATCATATCGACTTCATTGTGCGAATCCATTTTATTTGCATAACATATCTCATAATGTGCATATTCCATTGAATGTACAGTTACTACAATCTTGTTTTATCGGTTTATAAATCGGAGTGCTGGTGCGACGTCATTTCAAATGCAGATGTTATAGTATTTGTAAGAATAGTTTCAAATGCGAATGAGACAATAGCTGTGGGATACTGAAACAAATCCATTCCTGATCATGAACCGTGGAAAGCCATCGCGTGTTTGGCAAATTAACACAACAGTGTATCTCTGTCATTGTTACACGATATTTTATTTAAATATTCATTGAAATGCGAACATGCATATATATCTATTTGAAAGCTATGATATCTAGTCAGTTAAATCAATGTACTATTTTGCATTTTGTATGAACGTAATTTGACTCTTCGCTGAATCCTTTTACAGGTCCGATACGGTTATTAAAAGACAGAGCTTGAACTCCAGTGCTACAAACAATAAGAATGGTATTACTTTTGTTTGTAACAGCATAAACTATTCGACTGTCTGCAATGTATTTTCACGATGCCACTGAACAAGTTGTTTCATTGTATATGGTGCATGAGGTTGACAGGGAAAAGGTCTATTTCGAAGTGCTGTGCTGTGAACGTTATGACCGAGGTTTTGGTATGTACACATATGCTTTATTTTCTAAATCTATTGAGTGTAATAAGTGTAATACCATTTTCCTCCTCATCAATATTCTTGCATAAACTTTAAAACTAGGGGCATATTCAACGTTACTGATCTGGATTATGGTAAATATGAAGCGATTCCCAAATTAAAAGCAATTAGTTAACCAAGTAATATGTACGTAAAATAATTTAGTGTGAAACCAACAAATGATACACAATCAACACTTGTATCACAAAATTAACTAGGTTCACAAATCAATTCAAACCGCTACACAGCAATTCCATTGGCAGTACACAATAGAGTGGTAGTACAATATTCAATGGCAGTATAAAACTTGTTAGCAGTGAAAATGGCAATGACAAGAATAATAATCACCTCGCCGCAACGGTGGTCAAGCTCCCGAAATAGGCCTAGGCTACAAATCAAGGGTGTAATGTGATCCGGCACAGCTTCCGTCACTCTCTACACAGTGCCAGACCAGTCCAGTGTAGCTTGAACAGCACAGAATATTCCACATGTTTTTATAACGCTTGACATCAATCAATGCTATTCCGGAAGCATCTAACTTCCTCACCACTGCTTACATTAAATAGTACTACATTCCAGACAACTTATCATTGTACAAATACAATGCAATGAACTTCTACTGAATCTTAACAGAAACAATGTGATACAGTTACAATCATTGTTTAACCATAAATTACACTGCCATATAACTCGATGTTAACATGGCTATCGCGTTGCAACTGTGGCATGCTATCTGATCATGAGTGGGATAGCACTATAAATCCGGCGTAAGTCCAGGCTAGTAGCCGCCACACACTCGAGGTCGCGAGGTTAAACCCATGTTCACCAGTTCATTGGTGTGTAAACTGTTGTAGAGTTAGAGATCGTACGTTCATGTTATTTTGCCATGATGACTCTAAATTGGTTCATAACTAACATAAAGTGAAAATAAATTCTTAAAGTGAGTTATATCCCTGTTGTACCTCGAAAGTTATGTAAACAATTTCATGTAGTACGTTTGATGAGTTTAACCTACAGCCATACAACAAGCAGTAGATAGACCTATTTCCTCACTAATAATGACATGAACGTTGTTTTCTCAAATTGTTCTTCATTAAAATTTTGTGTCTAACTTTTTGCAACAAATGGATTAAAATAATATCATCAATAGATGAGAAATGTCTGTTAAGAACTACCACAATGATAGTGCATCGCAATTCATTTAGGACAGGACATAAAAAAGCCCGACGTTACCGTGAGATTTATTGAAAATGTATGATTTGTACAAAACATGTTTTGTGCCATCGTTAATATTCATAATACCCGATTGAAATCGTGTTTATTTCTGTAAAGGGACAAGCGGCCCATTATACAGTAAACTGTTAGCAGCATAATTCACAAAGAAAGATACTTCTAAAAGAACTTGACACGTTTTTCTTCAAAGCAAGGAGAGCCTATTTCGCAGAAATGGATGTTAAGTACTTCTATTGTTTTCTAATATATTTGCAGGTGAAAGATGAAAGTCAACTTAGTTTCAAAGTGCGTTGTGTTGGAGACACAGATGCAATGGATGTATGGGTTAAGAAGGATGAAGTCTTGACGAAAGTTGTCAAATCAACAGGGGAAGACAGGATTTCGTCGTTCGTATCAAAGTGTGCTGTACAGATAAAGAAAACACTCTGTCTTCAAAACAGAAACAAGAGTGTAGTCCGCATCACCGTTGATGTTGATCAGGACATATATAAATCAGTATTTGGGCATATCGGAAGTGACGTTACGGCAAGCGGGAATAAGTATACCATAGTCCCAGATAATTCTGAATTGGAACCCTACTTTGGTTCAGGATGGAACTTACGAATATTAAACAGAAGGGGAGACTTTATGTATGTCGTTCCTGGTACGTTTAAAGCCTGCTTGAAGAGTCATGCTCCAGTGAAAGAGTTCGTTCCAAGTTCACTAGGTCTCATTGAAAAATGGCTGTGGCAGGGCTTGTTTTGTGAGCTTGACTTCGTGCCAGGATTTGGCACAGGGCCCGACTATTTTCACCTCATGTGGTACTCTTTTGGCACGTTGGTGTGATGCACACAGACCCATAAATTGTACTGATAATTCATGTTATGTCTTTGTGGTCCTCTGGCACCGGATTGCTACGTATCATGAAATGAATGACGTTGTGCTACATATACCGATGTGTCATCAAATCCACACACTATAAGTTCCTGGTTTACATAACTATATCCCATTACTCTGGACACCGAAACCAGAAAACTGTGAGGGAACCGTCGGATAAAGATCTAATTCCTCAATTCGATTTTTTGCTGTTGCGCGACAACTGTTGTTAATCCGAAAATACGATAATCCGCAACATTTCAATAGAACGGCGCTGCCTATGGACACACTCACCGAGCCTCATGAGATATCTTACAATGACTTAGTATATAGGGAATCAAAGACCATTCACAGCCCACTCTGCGACAGTGACACATTCGCCTTGAATAATTGTTCAGTTTTAGGAAACATATAACATTGGATTTAAAGATGGGTTGGATTGTGGGGTTCCTTTTGAGTGATATGTGTATTCTTGTAAGCTGATGATTCATTCAAGTACATAAATTGAATTTTTAAAATCGGCATCCTTTATATTGTATTTTTGTTTTCCGCTTTTTAAAGTGGATGGATGATCTACAGAAATAGAAAACTCATCTCCCTTTAATACTGTTTTTCACTTCTTTCATTTCAATTAATCTTGAATTACCATAATAATAACGAATAAGAACATGCAAGATTCATTTCTTTCCAGTGGTCTCAAATATGTGTAGGTACTTAGCTTCGTACAAGATTTGTTTAGTTTGTTTGTTGTTTAACGCCGCACTCAGCAATATTCTAGGTACGTATGTACGTAGGTAGAAAGGCATATATAGGTAGGTACATGTAGGTAGGTAGGTACACGTAGATAGTCGGCACGTGTTAGCTGTTAGATAGGTGGTACATGTAGGGTTGTAGATAGGTGACGCATGTAGCTTGTTAGAAAGGTGGTGCGTGTAGGCTGGTAGATAGGTGGCACCTGTGGTCTGGTAGATAGGCGGCACATGTAGGCTGATAGATAGGTGGTACATGTAGCTTAAAAGATAGGTGGTGTATGTAGGTTAGTAGATAGGTGGTGTATGTAGGTTGGTAGATAGCCGGCACGTGTATCCTGGTAGATATGTGGTACATGTAGCCTGGTAGATAGGTTGGTAGTTTTCAACGCTACCTTGCCAGATCAACACAGAACTTTCCCAAAAGATCCCTCCCCAACTTTCGTAACTACTTAAACACTTGGTCTCTAGACAGTGGAACCAGTGATTGACAAGACTAAATTTGCTTATTTCGGTAGACTCTGTAGATGTAAAGCAGATTATTTTGTTAAAACACTATTTTACATCAGACTAGGATAGTATCTCAACAACTGTGTCTCAGATACATCTGTTGTACATGATTTGCTAGGCATTACTGAGAAGGACACGATCCCCCATTTCATAGAAACGTATCTCACTGTAGGGCATTTTCCACCAAATACAACATAGAAAGGAAACGGTAATAACACGGGAGCTCGTCTTGGAAGACAGAAATGGATAGAAATGGTGTCTACTCGCCTAGATCTGAAACGTTTTCATATGATACCAGCTCCACACAGATTGTGGAATATGTTTACAACATGTATAGCAGGCCAATATATGATCTAGTTAAACTAGGTATTTTACCCATAACAACTGGTATATGTATGATGTGTAGCAGGCCAATATATGCTCTAGTTAAACTAGGTATTTTACCTATAACAACTGATATCTGTATGACGTGTGAAGAAGAATGTAACGATGTTGTACTGCTCCAGTTAGTAAACTGTTACAGTCTGGTGCAAGAAAGAAATAACCTCTATCAGAAACTGTTTGATTTACTCGGCCTTCACCAATATCTTAAAATAGAAGATTGCACAGACAACGAAGTGAGAGTTTTGACACTACTTGGTGGCATTACGCATCTTGTAGAGGAGATGACACTCGATACATGGGCTCAATTGATAAGCATAGTCAGCAAAGAAATATGCTCATAGCAGCTGACGTCTATTCTCTATCTGTAACCTGACTATTTATATATCTGTTATCATGCATGTACATACTGATTAATTAACTTCCATGTTTGTACTCTCCGATATATACAAATGAAGGAAATAAAGATTATTCATTCATTCATTGTAGGTTTGTAGACAGGTGGTGCATGCAGGTTGGTAGATGGGTGGTATATGTAGGTAGGTGAGTAGATGTATGTAGGAAGGACGTAAAATACATGTAGTTAAGTAGGTAGGTACATGTTGGTGTGTACATGTAGGAAGGTACATACAGGTAGATAGGTAGGTACACACACACACACACACATACACACACACACACACACACACACACACACACACACACACACACACACACACACACACACGTCATGGTTCCAATGGTATTGACCTCGATAACGGTTTTCTATACCCAAATGTCGCTACAAACACCTTCGCAATCTATACTTTCTTGCCATCAGCTTTAAACTTCTCTGTTATACTTCGTCTGAAGGATCATGCATGCGATACATTGATCTTAGTGTAGGATATGCGTCATCTGAACCAGTCAACCCAAACGTCCTGTCAGACGCTGACAACTATTGTTATATTCAGTGTGTTGTGGAACAAAACAAACAAACATCTAATATGACAGTGGGTTGTCAAGTTCAGTATTTAGTATCTAATATATAACATAGGGTTGCGGGGACGATTGCGGTGTTATTGCCGTGTACTAACAGTTAACTGTTATCGTTTAGTAAGACAAATCTACAACTAATGATTCTAAGCAATGCTGACGTATAGACAGTATCCTCAATGACGTAAGGTATTTATAGCGACATTATAATTCGAAGGGAATGTGTTTATATGTAGGTAGTTAAACTGAACAGTTAAATGAAGAGCACAGAAAAGTAAGTCAAAACAATTTCCCTTGCCAATTACGTACGTACCCTGCTGATAAATGACGTCAATAATCCGATCACTGTTAATTCAGATAACTTAATTGCTGCATCGTGAGCCAATTTGGTGGAGCTGATATACATTAGTGGCATTATGACCCACATAAAAACCCAGAAACCCACGTGCTGTTGTGATAACTTAAGTGCAAATATATGAATAGATAACTGTGCATGTCAAACTATGTCAATTAAAGCTTCATCTACCATGACAAGCCAATGTCACAAGACCTAACAGTCGTCATTATAGTAATCAGTGTTGGGGAGTTGATGTCAATTATATTATCATGTTATCTGAACTAATCCTTATATCGATTCAGAAGTACAGAAACCACATGTGCAATCAACTAACATATGTCAATAAGAGATATACATATGTTTCCTTGTGAATTAGTGCGTAATTATTTTGCCGCTTTGATTTGTAACTTATTCGTCACTGCGAGCCACCTTGATGTGGGAGGAAAGTCCTGGTGATGCAGCCTGTTCCCATTTATTACTTCAGTGTAACACATAGGTATGGTGCTGGCAGACCGAAGTTCATAATCGGACCGACTCTGAGATTCAACATTAGCGGAGTTTGGCTCAACCCTTCACGACTAGGCTCGGTGTATTAGGCACTGTCCTGGGCCACCTGAGTTACGAGTTATTTCAATATATACGCTTGTTCGTAATTCATCGGAATGCCCAATGATTTTTATGTTGTCGACTATGGTTCATGAGATATCAGTAGGTATTGTCTTTCACTTGTTCCTGTCATTGTATAACGAATGCCTAAACCGAGTATATAACAAGTGTCACATCGCTAGCCCAATAGAGCCCAACAGCGATCAATTATAAATGAAGCACTTGATATCCGCCTTTCTCTGCGGAGACTCCAGCATCGCATTGCACGGAGACACTGCAGTATCTCTGTAGAAACTGAACAATTATATGAACAAGTGATTGTGAGTCGTTGTTACACGATTCATGGTAACAGACACTATTGACACTGAAGTGACTACTGGTTTATTGAACCATGCCCTTTTTCCAAAACCATTGAAACCCGCTGATGTGTGTATCTAAGTTCATTATTTGTTCTTGCAAATCGCAGAGGATTGTAGTCTTACATGGCTGAAGTTTTACAAAGGAAATTGAACGCTCACCGTTACTGTCTACTGGAGACGCTCTTATATCCCGAGTACAAGTGTGAAATGGTGGAATCACACTGCCACACGTGTAGGGGAATATACGTTAACGTTTTGTCTTGATCATGATCATTTCTTGTCAAATGTAATTATAAGATCGTCATTTTATTTTGTGGTGGACACTAAAATTCCAATAATATATTGCAAACAGGATATCTCATAGGACTATGTGATACCTGTATTGTTTGTCTTATATTTCACTAAGGTTTAAGTAACAAAATACGTAACGGGATATTTCTAATTTTTGTAGTAAATAACCCTTACCTCCCCGGAAATAGGTTTCTTCGTTGGTAAGCCCTTTAAAACCTAACAACTTCTGCCACTCACACTCCAGTAACCTGTCATACCTGAATTAAAATCGTTCCCTTTCCTGCGATTCTAGCCGCATAATCTCTCTCATGAATATAAACTCTCAACCAAGACTGTTAGAAAGTTGCTTTGGAAAGATTAAATATTATTATCATGTATGATTTCTTTCTTCTGTGTCAAGAAACAGCTGCGAGCTTATTGTGAAGGGACATTATTCCAATTATTCCAGAATCGGGATAACTTCTATGCAATGTTTTTGGCCGATATTTGACATCTTTCTCATCAATTATCTTGACCTTTATAGCGCTGTTCCGTTTTCGATTTTTAAGCTAGATAACAAGGTAGACACCATTTTATGGATAACAACCACAGCAAAAAAAATGCAGTTTCCGGTATCCGGATACCTGCCGGATACCTCCGGACACTTACCCAAAACGCGTCCGGGTATCCGGTGGCAGATACCTTGCCGGATACCAGATCCGTGGTATCCGGCATGGAAACCTCACCTGAAAGTATGCCACCTGGAATCCGGGTATCCGGCACGGATACCTCACCGGATACCTCAATCTGGGTGTCCAAGGATCCGGCACAGATACCAAGAATCCGGCACCGGATTCCTCATTCTGAGTTTCCAAAAACATGTTACAATTTGGGGGGTGCATTTTGTTCAATTAAGTGTGAAACGCCTAAATATATATTGGAAACTAACCATGAAAATTGAACATTGCTGAAGGTATCCGGCAGGTATCCGGCAGGTATCCGGATGCAATTTTTCGAGATGTCTTATTTCTGGTAAATAATGTTAGCCTTGGCATATCAGATAGCTGTAGTAATATTCTGTGTCATTTTAGTTGTAAATATCCCCTTAAAGTTGAGATCTATGGGCATGTACTTTTGGAGAAGACATTTTTATCAATTTCATCTATAATTCTTTTTTGATGTTAAGCTGTTTAATGAACAAACATCAGTTCTAATATATGTATGATGATATCCTTAAATTTCATGTTCAGACTTCCAGATTGTTCTGAGTGAACGTATAAACTCATCGA